GGCCTGAAACACCAGAGCAGCTCCTCAGGGGACCCTGGGTGGAGCCAGCACAACCTCAGAAGGGGAAGACCCCTGGACAGCTGTCTGTGAGAGGAAGGCCGTGAGCATCCAGCAGCACAACGGAACACTGCCTGGAGGACGTGCTGGTCTGAAATAGACCTAAAATCTGCCCCTCTTGGGCAATAGGAGAGCTTGGACCAGAAGGCAGGAGTCAAGACAGAGCAGGCCATGCAAGCTGGACACAGCTAGAAAGTACTGGTAGGTGATCGCTGCTTCTTGTTAGGAGAGGAGATAACTTGGCCAGTCCACTCCTGAGGGCAGGGTGCCCAGACCCCAGCCTCTCTGAAGAAGCCCCTCTGACATTGATTCCTTGCCACAGACCTTAAAATAAATTGCTTGGGGCTGTCACTTCAGGTCCTCTCGCCTATGCCAGGCTGGTCACTTCCTCTGGTCTGTGTCTTTGTGCTGGTCACTCTGCAGCTGAGGCCCTGGGATTCACATCACCTTCTGAGTCATGCTCTTTTCAACTAAAAGGAGAAATAACTTATGCGGGCATTATATAGAGTCCTTCACCTGGTACCTCATTGTTTTCTTTTTCTGAGCCACCGCTGAGTTCATGCCCTGAGGGAATTCCGTCAACTTTTGGTTGGCTCTATCTTCCAGCCTGTTAGGTGAGGAACTGTATGAAAATATTAATATTTGCGATGAAGCTCTGAAGATCTATACTGAGAATTAGTCCTGAGAAAAATGGTGACTGCATGAAATTGGAAGTGTTGGTCCCAAAGGAAACCCTGGCCTTCTAACTGGGAGCTGTTTTCTTGGTTAGAATCCTTGAGGGCAGAGTTCGATGAGCAGGCACTAGGGCAGCAATTCTCAGGGGCTAGAGGTAGGCAGAGTCAGCCCAGGTGGTGAGAGGTCACGCTGACTACCTTTGCTGCCTCAGAGCCCTGCTAAAGGAGTGTGTTCTCCTGAATTTGCCCCTGAATTATAAATCACTGACTTAATAAGCCAGTTGCTAATGGGAGTGTCATAAACCTCAGGTTTGCTGGAATAGAAAAAAAAGAGAAGCTCTGCTTCAGCGTAATCAGGTATTTTCCCACTGGGCTGGCATTATAGGAAAGTTGCCTGGCCTGCTCCATGCAGGCCAACCTGCTCCAGCAGGACTGCCAGGCCTAGGGCATAATTTTTGGCTTCATTCTTGCTGTGGCAGTTGGATAATAAAGCCATGTCTCCTTAACCTTGTTTCTGCCAATGTTAACTGAGAACATTAATGAATAATCTGCCATCTGCCATCAAAAATAACATGTGAGGCTTAAGTCTGTGGCAGAATAGAAAGGCTCTAACTAAATGGCTTTATGGAGAGATAAATGCAAAATCCTCCACTTTGGTGTAAGAAATCAACTGCACATCTTCAGAGAAGGAAGCTAAAACCAAATGGCAGCTCAAATAATAATAATAATAATAATAAGTAGCCCAGTGAAATAGGCTAAGCGGTTTAATTCACTATTAACTCAACAGATGTCAGTAATGTGACTTTTTCAAATTTGTAAACTTAGCTGAGTAGCATCATCCACATCAAGAAAGGAAAATAATAATTCCTCCACACCCTGGGATTCATGTGGTCAACACTAGAGACTGTCCAGAAGACACCCAAGATTTGTGGTCTGAAAATATGTAGGAAATTGGTATATTGGGGCTACAAGAAAAGACTTGCAAGTGGAGAGAAACACAAAGGGAAAAAGACTTTGACTCAAAAATGAGAAAAATTTCTGATAGTCGGAAATGTCTAAAGATGAAGGGGCTCTCTCTGGAGGAGTTGAAGCCTCATTGCTGGATGCAATCACACATGGGAGCCACCATTCCTAGGCAGGCTGTACAAGGCAGAGCACACCCTGGAGACCGTTGAAGAAGGTGACTTCTGAAGTCTCAGCACCCAGGAAAGTGTCTTCTAGTTGCATATAGTTGTTAGTAGCATATTAAATATTGCTGTGTTGATGGGTGCAAAAGAGGGTGGAGTTCAAATCACAAGGGTTTTTTGTTGTTGTTGTTTTGGTTTTGTTTTTTAAAGATTTATTTATTTACGCATACAGAACTGGGTACAGGCCTGAGGTGTAGGGGCAGTGAGAGGATTCACCAGAGACAGAGTGGGGGGCAGGACAGGCCGACTGACGAAGTAACTGCCGAGGGGAGCAGCGGGGGGCCAGGAGAGGTCTGCCACGCCATGTGGTCATCTCCAGGGCAGGCGGGGATTGAATTTATGCGGAAGTGGCTTTAGCTTCTTAGTGCTGTGCTTTAACCCGCTGTGCCGCCAGGGAGGGCCCTCAAATCACAAGTTAGCCCTGCTTTGGTCTCAGAAAAGCATTCTGCAGCCATGCATCAGCCAGCATTGCCAGTGGGGCTCATGTGCTGTTCCTTGGGGTGTACATCTTACCACATCAGTGTGTGTGCAGGCCTCAAAAAGGAAAATGGACCTCATTGCGAAGACAAATCTGGATTTCCAAGTTAAACTGAAGTTATCTTTGAGTATAATTAAAAAGGATATGTCAAAATTAAAACCATTGTTAAAATTAATCAAAGATTTAGAAAGGTAGAATGAACTCCAGAGCTGGAAATTACTGATTTAAACAATTGTTCTCACATTTTAAACTACATAATGAGCTAAAAATTATGAAGCCTCCGAGTATAGCTGTAAAGACTAGTCTTAAACTGAAGTCAGAATGAAATGTTTTAGCTTTCAAAACTAAAAAGCAGAACAATTACTCCCTACAAAATGGTATAGGAAGAGGTTTCTGACCCCTGCTAATTGTTTTATTATTCTTCAGAGGGGCGCACTGGCAGCATTTCCCAGGGTTTTCGGTAATTACACTCCATTCAATATCTGAAGAATTACAATAATTCTACATGGAATATACTTGTGCCCTTCGGATGCAAAGCCTTTAGAGAAGTGAAAAAACAACTTAAAGTAAATTAGCAGGAAAATTATCATAGTTACTGTTTATTTCAGGGCTCCATATATCAGAGGCTAATTATACATTGTATGTTACATTTTCTTGGAGGTGCTTGTAATATATTTTTCATGCTGATCAACAGACATGCAGACTTTTAAGGCCCTTTATGAAAGTGAAGTTCGAACTTCTTCGATTGCCTCTTTGTGTGTGAGACAGCTTCCTTGCAGACATGTGTCTCTGAATGCTTGCCAGACTCCTCAGAGTAGTAGTGTTCAGTGAGGTATTGTGAGTGTTCCCATGTGTGTATTTGTAAAGCTTTGACTCTTCTAAGAATTTTTCCTGCCAAAGAAGTTTTTTTTTTTTTTTTTTTTTAATGCTATACAGCTTTCTCTAAGTCCTTGTCTATGTGTTGGCAAGCCAAGAGAGGAAGAAGAAAGCAGGGCCTATCAGATTGGGGAGTCTCTTCGTGACCAAAGTGTTAGAATTAACCCACCGTTTTTGTGGGTCCCCTTTGGAGTCTGAACAGCTAAGGCACCCTGAGACAGCGGGCCCAGCTATCAGGACCAAGAAGCATGTGCCCTGCTGACGTGTGCCCAGAGAGGTTAGGTCCCGGTGGTGTTTCTCCTCAGGTTGCTGTTCTTGAGATTTCCCTCTTTTGTTTTTCACTAAATGGAGTTCACTACCAAAGAATCCCTTATGATTCATTATGGCAACCAAAACTTGAAATTAAGAAATTCACTTGTTGATGAAATTAACAAAAGATAAATTGTCTTTCATCTAGAGGATTGAACACATACTCATTTTTTAATAGTTTAAAATGTGAATGACATGGAAAGTGGCCATGATGCAGTGTGAAAAAAAATCAAGTCAAAACAAAATACTTATGCAAGCTATGACTTCAGTTTTTTTAAAAAATAGGCTCTTTCAAACTGTTACTCCAGTATAAATTTAAAAATAAAGAAAAACTTTAGTGGGAAAAAATGAAATAAAATATGCTTTTATATAGTTACCTTCTAAATATTAGAGAGAAATATACCAAAATCTTAGTGAATTTACTGTGTGAAGTGGTGCTCCAAATGATTTTTACTTTATTTTTTAAAGATGTATTTATTTATGCATATCAGAACTGGGGTACAGGCCAGAGGGGGTGGGTGAGAGGATTCACCAGAGACAGAGAGGGGACAGAACAGGCTGACTGACTGAAACACACTGCTGAGGGGAGCAGCAGCACAGAAGGAGGTCTGTTGCACCACATGGGTCACTCCTCCGGCCAGGGGATCAAACTCAGGCTGCAGTGACTTCAAGTAGCTTCATAGTGCTGCACTTTAACCTATTGCACCACCAGGGAGGCCCTCATTTTCACTTTACTCTTAACGTTTTCTGTATTTTTCTCATTTTCTAAAATGTGCTTGTGTTAACATCACAATCAAAAAGGAAGAACTGGAAAGGGGGAGGGGTAGGAGGGAGGAAGGATGAAGACGGGGAGAGGGAAAATAGAAAATCAAATAATTAAGATGAACATGAAAACATGCACTTTTGCTGGAAGATTAGACAGACGGGTTTTGTGCACAGGTAGAATAGTTTCACTAAGAGTGTTAAATCAATATAATCTAATGCCTCATCCCTGAATCCTGTTCATTATAGTGAGGAACTCGACAAGCTAGCCCTTCCCCAAATCTAGGCTGGTTCCAAATTCTCTTATAAATTCAGTGACCTCAAGAAAGAATGGTGAAAACCCATCCCAAGCAGTAAGGTATACTCCGGAAGGATGGATTGCTCTTTTTGCCCTGAGGAACAAGTAAACAGTAAGGCTAGAGCTCTGTCTTGAGTATTCCCTAGCTGAGAAAATGCACCGTGTACGTGAGTGTGGGTGCCTCTTTCAAGTAATCGAGGTTATACTACTATCAGCCGGCTGCCTCCAGATATCAACTTCTCAGGTTGAGCCACTTTTCAGTATTGCCAAATAAATCATGGTTTGTTTTCCTTTTTGGGTTATACACTAAGCTTACTCTGTATATCAGTCTTTCTTTTTTTTTTCTTTGTTCTTTTTAGCGCATGATTGCAAATACTGCCCGAACAGTGAGATACTACAGGAGCCAACCCTTCAGTAAGTTAAATGTCACTGCATGCTGCAGTGTGGATCTTGATGATTAAGTCCTTTTTAATGAGCCTGTGGTGATACTTCGGGAATCTGGACAACATATGATTGATTCTGAGACACTTTGCCCCACGAATTCCATGGCAAAGGAGCCTTCAGTTTAAAGACTTCTTTGTTGTAAAACTAGAAGATATTTCCTTGGTTGTAAAACTAGAAAATAACCATAGGAATATTGTTCTGTTAATGAATTTAAAGAGAATTAATTTGCTCTTTTCAGTGTGGCTAGAGAAAACTAAGGAATAATTGCCAACGAATTCTGCCTTAAACCGACTCTCTTTATGATTCACTGCTTGATGTTGAGAAATGCACATCGATGACTCAGAACTGTCGTTTGTAAACTGGAAAGATAGTATTTATTGTCTCTTGGGGTGTAATGAGAATGCATTAAAGTGTATATAGCACATTTGTTAAAGGGCTCATAACCGGAATGCATATTCTATTTCTAGTATTCCCAGGTGAATTTACAGTGTTCTTTTAGCCTGAACATATAGTGCAATAGCTGGCATAATACAGTGCTTCCGTATAAAGTTATTACTACTAATAAATAGCCATTTTTATGTTCAAGACTGTGTTGCATCACAGCACTGGATCCTCATGCCAGACCTGTGCTGTTTCTTTCTGGGCTGGGACTTAGCGTAGGGAATGGAGCTCTGGCTTCCTCGCTGGGTGGAGAGTGAGGGGGTGGCCCCTGTGAAGTTTTTTGCAAACTTCATTGTATGAGTCATTTGCAGACATTTAGCTCATTAAGTCAACATGATAATTTGACAGGAATATGACTGTTAAGCTACCAGTACCTTCCCCTCCAATAAACTCGGGGATAAGAGACTAAAGTTTCTCGTTGTATTAATCAGAGCTAGGTTTGCCCTTCCTGGCACTGGACTGGCCCAAAGCAAAGGTTTTCTAGCAGAGGATGCCAAAACTGCTGCATGTTCATTTTCTTAATGTACAGGAAGAAAAACATCTAGGAAAAGTAATCTTGGCTTTGGGAGCAAGTAGACCTTTAAAAAAATTGATTCAAATGATTGTGCTCCCTCTTCTTTCTAAAGTGAGAAGAGCCTCGAACCTAATCAACCATTCCTATGTGAGTTCTGCCAGAATTAAATTGGCCCGTGTCTTTTCATCTGGTAATTTACTACGTATATAAAGGCATGGTCATAAAGCAGTGACTATGAGAATATATAAATGGGATTTGGAATCTATGGCCCTTTGGGAAATTCCTGAAATTCTATGCCAAACTTGGTGTACCTGAAAGGGTCATAGCCTTGAGAAGAAGGTTCTCGGTGATGTCCGAAAACCAAAGAACCATGCTACGATAGGCCCTGCCTTGTGAGCCTCTTTGGAAATAAACTCTACATTCTTTGACATCTTCTCCTAGAGAGGAAGGGGGGGGCAGTATTAATATATTTTTTTTAACTTCATTGCATTTGTTGAAGTTATCAGTAACTGCTGGTAAACAACAGCTGCTCAGCTCTGAAGTCAACATCTATAGATAAAGCTATAGGAATAGATTCATAAACATTGTGGGAATATGTACAATGTAATTACAGTATATTGTACATGTAGAGTACACTGCCAGTAAGAAGCAAGGAAATTAAACACTGTGGTATTATTTATATGTGATAATTATACTGATGAGTTTCTTCTTAGAGCAAGCAGGGGCCTTTGTATCTTCTTTCTCCTTTTCTGTGCTCAGACCTGCAGTGTTCCTCTCCACCCCTTATGCAGATGGCATTATAATTGCCTTTGGGGTGGTGTGTGGCTCTAAGAAGGGCAAATGGACTGCAGAAAGCCGTGTGCTGTGGCAGGAAGAATGCTGGTCCGGCTGGGCCACACCCTTGCTCATGGAGCCCACGCCAGAGATCCATGGGACGGAGGTTGCATAGGCACACAGAAGTGTTGGTTCTAAACAGGACATTCTCCTCCCTTTGACTTTGAAATAATTCACCATTTTTGAATTGGGAGAATTCCCTGGAAAGTGATCTAGATTTCTCAATTCTGAAAAATAGGAAAATTTGGTAACCTTTGTAGTAAATTCCCGTGCGGAACCATCGCTTCCAATGTGACCTGCTTTTCCAGTGCTTTTCACCACTCTCCTCCTTAGTCATCTCTAATCCCTGCTATGGGCATTTGACTCTTATTTCAGCCTGGCTTTAGGGAGGCCATTTAATTCCAGGTAGCCATTGCTCTCGGGCTTGAGGGAGTGGACCAGAATTAAATAGTAACTGAGATTTCAGAACAAATAGCACTAGAGAATCAAATAGCACTAGCAGAAACCATTTCAGCCCCCAAGTTGGTTTTCTTCCAAGTAGGTGCTGTCTCCAGGAACGCAGTCTGCGCAGTAGTGCTGGGCATTGTGTGCAAGAAGCAAGAGACATACTTGTCTCACTGAGTTGTTTCAGTTTGGTTAGGGACTCATGAAAATCATGTCTTTTGCCATTAGCCCTCATCTGAGTGAAAGGGGGCAGAGTTCAGAGTGTGAAACCAAGTAGAATGGTCCAGGAAACAATTTTAAAATGTAACCTGACAATGCTTTCGCTTTCACTTGGTTCTCTCAGTCTCTTTCTCTATCTATCTATCTACCTACCTACCTACCTACCTATCTAAAATTTAAGAACCATGCAGTACAAAGACAATAAGCAAAATAGGTGATTTGAGGGAAGAAAAGGATAGGAGGAAGCAAAGGGAACAACCAAGTGGAAACATTTCAATGAATGTGGTGTGTTGAAAGGTCTTGATGAAACTAGGAATCCATGAAAAATGTAATAAATAGTTGAAAAAAATAAAACTGAATCTTGTATGCATGTATCACAACGCCAGGTCTGCTCTTTTCTCTTTTAACAGATCCTGATGCAGCTCAAGCTAATAAGAACCATCAGGATGTCCGGAGTTATGTACGGCAATTAAATGTGATTGACAACCAGAGAACTTTATCACAGATGTCACACAGATTAGAGCCTCGCCGACCGTAGACATTTAAAGTGCCCAGAACAGTGGTTTGTCTCCAGTCCGCAATCTTTCAAAAATGCCATTTATGCTACCACTTGACTGTATTGTCACTAGAGAATTCTACAAAACAAGCAAAAAACAGCCTGAAACACCTCGGGGCTGCATTCAGCTTACCAGCGTCATAACGAGAGAAGACATTATTGGACTTGCATAGAGCTTGCACACTCTAGCTTAGGAATGCCCACTTCGTAGTCACCCCACTTCATTTCCAATTGTGCCATCTTCTTTGCTGAAACCTAAAATAAGGCCACATGAAGAGTGTGGTAGAAATACACCATTGTCATGAGAATTATCAAGCCCCTGACATTTTTCTGGGAGTGTTGACAAGCTGAGATGAGCTATGAATGGGATTTGTTGGGCTACATCAGTGGTGATATCGTTTGCTAATTTGTAACTTAACATCTTAATTTGGAGTATTAGGTTTTTGGAAGGCTTGCAGGATCCGTGTAGATTGTATTTGTCCTTCTTCATAGTCTTACCTCTGAAGAGATTGAACCGGTCCACATTACTGTATAACATAATGGCCAATTGTGTAATTTAAGAAGGACTGGTCTGTAATTTCTGGATGGCATATAGAATAATATTTATGTTTACATGTAACTTTTTTAAACTTACAAATCAGGATTACATACTTAAGAATTTCACTAAGAAACTCCAAGGTTCTTAAAATTGCCAGCGTAAAAAAAAAATAAATAACATTTCAGAAGAGCACAATATGCACAAAACATTTTTCAAAATTAAAATATTTTCCTGGGCATTAAAAACCTTTACTATTGGCTAATTATTATTACTAATTAAAATACACATATTTTATGGAGTTAAATGTTATTATGAATACCTTAATTTTCAGCAATTATTTTGCACTTTCAAATAGATTGTAAATAGTTCATTCAATCAATGGTATAGTTATTTATTTGCTACGTAATAGATATTGTGCCAAATAATTACTTTTTATTTATTTTATTTAGAATGTAATTTTCAAGTACATTTTTTCCTGTTAGGAAATTAGGCTACATTTAATGTGTAGGGATTGTATGTATGTATATCTCCTGTAAATAACAGCTACTATCTTCATTAAATATAATTGTTGACAAGAAATGGTTGTGTTGTTCTCGATTGTTATAAAATGGGAGGAAGATGATGAGATCTTAGTATGGTGAGATCCTGGAGTTTTTAGCTGAAATAAAATTCACATACTATAAAAATTGCCCTTTAAAAATGTTTAATTCAGTGCTTTTTAGTATCGTCACCAGGTTGTTTAAAAAAAAAAAAAACACTATATAATTTGAGATCATTCTCCTCATCCCTAAAAGAAATCCAATATCCAATAGCAGCTACTCCTCATTCTCCTCTGTCCTTAGTTCCTGGAAATCATTAGTCTGTTTCCTGTCTTTGAGGATTTACCTATTCTGGACATCTCATATTAATGGGTTCATATGATATGTGGCCTTATGTCTCTGTGTTCTTTCACTTGATACAGTGTTTTCAGGCTCATCCATGTTTTAACATGTATTAGTATGTCATTCCTATTTGTGACTAAGTAATATTCCATTCTATAGATAATACCACCTGCTGTCTTTTCATAAACTGATGGACATGTTTGGGCTGTTTAGGACTATTGCTGTTATGACGAGGCACTGGATTTTAGACCAGCCTGGTGTGGAGGCTGATACCATTTCTCAGTGATCTAAGTACTTAGTAAATATTTGATGAAAAGATTTTTGAAATGCTTTCAATCCTAGACATGTCTCTATTTTCTAATGTCAGCATTTTCCAGAGTGTATTTCAGTCTATACTAATTTCATCAACTCACAAGTTGTTCCTCCAAAAAACAGAAACACAACTGCAAAACAGAAACAAAACAAAGATGGTATCTTTGAGAACCACTGCACAATGTACCATGTTCTTAGAACTGATTCCCAGCACTTATTACCATATTAAAGGCTCTGGGAAGTCCTGTTGTGGTCCTTGAGAATGTCCTGCAGCCCAAGTCCACTGAAGCCAGACAAATGCCTTTCTGTGTTCCTTTACACAATAGTTCAAAGTCCCCAGAAGCAGGGTGTTGTTTGATGCCGTGTTATGCCTTCTACCCAGCATCAAGCACAATGGCTGGAATTTACAAGAGAATTTTTTTTAAGTCGCTGAATTCATTTTCTTGAAGTCATTATTGTTCAGCATTTCACTATCTCATAAACATTAGTATAAGCTCTAAAATTTTCACCATTATATAGTTTTCTAGAAGATGTGAAATGATGACATACAGCTGATAGGCTACCCATTGGGTATCCCTGCTCTTGTTTTACTCTGCCTTCCTTTTCCCATACTTAAAAGCTGTAGTCTATTCTGACAGTTCCTTTCCCTCAAATCCATGGTGACTGATACTTTATGACCTTAGCTTAAATTCGTTTACACGTTATTCAAAATGAATACATATTCTCTTAAGTATACTCCCCTTGGACTTCCAGATGAGAATAACTATTGCTGTACTTAATAAAGGTAAGAGATTTTTAATTATGTCTGGTTCCTTTGAAAATGCACTGAACTCCATTATTCAAGGTAGCGATGCTGAAGTAAAAGAATTCACACTCCAAAAATGAAGAGTAGTAGCCAAGCAACCCTTCCTGAAGCAGGAGATGCAGTTAATATTTTAAAACTTGCAAACAAGCCAAATGAAAATGAGGTGCCTACAGGGTCATAAGAAGGATAATGAGGTTTGCTGGAAGACGTGAAAAAGAAGAAAAAATGTTTTTACCAAAAGCGCCTGTGGAAAATTAGACATTTAAGTGTTTAACATACCTGCTTAGTAAGGTCACTGGCACAGTATACAGAAGCTAAGCTTTTCCAGCAATTTTTGAATGCCATGCAGGTTAAATAGATTTCTCCTGAATTCAATGGCATTTCCTCTTAAATATGAATGACTACTGGTGTGAGAAAATTAAAAGAAGTGTCATTCTGATTTCAAATTGTGCTTTTAAATTTTTTAAAACTCAGCACAGAATATGCAATATGGTAAAAATGAACCCCTACCTTGAATAGCTTTTCTTTTACTGTCAATCTAAAATGTATTACATTTCTTGCTGTAGAATAATCCTAGCTTTCTGTTTTTCGTATAGAGAGTATGGTGCTAGGTGGGCAGGTAGACAGCATTGCTGACATAAACTGGAGAAGACCTTTTGACTTAATTAGGCATTACTAGTTATCCATTCGTTCATTCATTCACTCATTCACAATTAATATAGAGATTTACAGATGTCCAAATTCTCTAGCTCAGGAATCAGTGATTTCAAAATTTAGAAATCCCCAGTATTCCTGGAGCTCATCATTAGTGGGAGAGGCAGATGACTAATTGAATAATCATACAAGCAAGAAAATATAAATATATGGAATATGGTGTTATAAGGACATGCAATAAAGAAGTTAAACTGATGAGAGGTGAGCAAATGTTTCCTGTGAAAGTGACAACTGATCTGATTTCCGAAGGTTGAAATGCTAACAAAGTAGAACCTCTTCTAAGCAAGGAATAACCTGGGCAATGAAAGGTGGGAGGGCTCGCTTGAGTGGAACAGAGAACAGGTTTGAGCGTGCTCCAAGATGGGCTAGAGACGTAGGCAGGCTCAAAGCAGCAAGTGAGACCTTAGCACAAGTTTCTAAGGAGCTTCATCTTTTACCCACCAGCAGCAAGAAGCCAGTGAAGTGTTTGGGGGGTGGGGGGGGACATTGCATTCTAATGGTGGCCCATAGGAGGTGGGGCTCCTGCTTTATGTTACCACACTGCAGATGACACATGGTGTCATCACTAATTCCTTAGTTACTTTATTGTGTAGGCTTAAAGGTCAGGCAGAGGGAATTGTGGATAGTGACAAGTATTTTAAAAACAGTGGTGGACTCAGATAGCCATAGTCAGATGCCACAACCCCTTCTGGCTTAGACTTTTGAGTTTTGGGATGTGGCAAAGATGCTTACTGTAAAATTTGCCCTTTTTGAGTGTACAGTTCAACAGCATGGAGTACATTCAGTGTTGTGCAACCATCACCACTATCCTTTCATTAACCCAAACTAATACTCCAATTACACAACTCCCCACTTCCTCCTGCCCCTCAGCCTCTCATATTCACAATTCCACTTTCTGTGAGTGTGGAGGTCATTCCACATAAATGGAACCATACAGTATTTGCCCTTCTGTATCCGGCTTGCTCACTTGGCATGTGTTCAGGGTTTATCCAGGTTGTAGCCTGAATCAGAATATCTTCTTTAAAGATATTCTGTCCTGCCCACTGCTCCCCTCAGCAGTGTATTTCAGTCATTCTGCCTGTTCTGCTCCCCAAATCTGTCTCTGGATAAAATCTCTCACTGTCCACGCCTCTGGCCTGTACCCAGCATACCCCAGTTTTTTTTTGAAGTATTACATTTTCTGCACACACCACTCTGTTTCTCCATACATCCATCAGTAGGAATTTGCTCTGTTTCCACCTTTTGACTTTGTGAACAATGCTTCTGGGAACACAGGTATGCATATGTTGGAGTCCCAGCTTTCCTTTTTTTGGATGTGAACCTGGGATTACTGAATTGCACGGTAATTTTATGCTTAATTCTTTTTTTGAGGAATGGCAGACTGTCTCTTCAATAGTCACTGCACCATTTAATGGACTGCATTTGACAGAGTCCGTGTTTATGTATGTCATAAATATACATAAGACTGAGGCTGAGGCTGCCAATGTGTGGCAGTGGTCAGGGGATCCAGACGCAGTGTGTGGGTCGCCATGGTTAGAGCAGAGAGACTTATTTCCACTGTGACTTCCTTCAAGCCTGAACAGCCCAGAGGAGGTCTGTCCTTGTCATACTGTTGATTAATGTGTCAAACTGCTGTTGCCTGTTGTCTTACACTAAAGGATGGAAAATCTGGAAGAAATGTTACTAACCCCAAGAGAACAAGAGCGTGGGAAGAGGAAGTGTCTGCTTTGTTTTGGCTACTTTGTAGAGGTGTGCCCTGTAACTCCAGGAAGGCTAAGAACAACTCAGCAGAAAACCAGAATCTTTGTTCCAGGTACCCGGCTTTAAAAACAAAACACTGTGGGCCCTCCCTGGTGGCACAGCGGGTTAAAGCACAGCACTGAGAAGCTAAAGCCACTTCCGCATGAGTTCGATTCCCGCCTGCCCTGGAGGTGACCACATGGCGCGGCAGACCTCTCCTGGCCCGCCCACTGCTCCCCTCAGCAGTGTACTTCGTCGATCTGCCTGTTCTGCTCCCCACTCTGTCTCGGGTGAATCCTCTCACCCTCCGAATCTCTGGCCTGTACCCCAGTTCTGTATGAATAAATAAATAAATCTTAAAAAAAAAAAACACTGTGATTTCATGGGTACTGGTATAGCACTACCTCTAGATTTGAGGGGAAGGCTGGAGTTAGGGTATGTGAGAGCTGCCTGATTTTGCAATAATTTATTCCCCTCAGTGTCTGCATAGAGGGTTCAGACATTCCCAAGGCAGGAAGAGTTGACAAGAGTGGGATTCTGTGATAGCAGGATCAAAGCAAGAACATAATTGGAATGAAAGTTATAAAATTCTTCAGAGCAGGCCTCCTAGGTGGGGTTGGGGTTAAGTCTCAGTTCTATCATCTCTATGGCCTGAGTTAGATCCCCAGCTAGGGAGGTGACCCACATGGCGTGGGAGACCTCTCCTGTCTCATCTGCTGCTCCCCTCAGCAGTATATTTCAGTGCATCTTCCTGTTCTCCTCCCCACTCTGTCTCAGGTGAATCCTCTTACTGACCCCCCAGGACCTATCCCCCCCCCACTTCCAAACACACACCCCTTTGGCCTATTGAAGCAAGAAGTTTTCCAGGTCTGCTTAGATTCTGCTACTTTCCTAGGCCTGCTGCTTGGGGGAGTCTGTTGCTTGGATTATGTTGCTTGCTGGAACAGAAAGTTCCTGCAGTATACTGCTTGCCCACAGTAGTAGCTATGGCTACCTTGACACCTTCCCAGGCAGTAAAGAATGCTTACGCTGTGATGGATGGGATGACCAGTTTCTTCATAGAAACTGTATAAAATCTCACCATTCCTGTAACTCAGGGCTCAGCCTTTTGGGACTTATACCACTGAGCCCACCAGTGTGACAAGTAAATTTCTCTCTTTCTCTCTGAGTGCTTTTTGATTGCTCTGGGAAATTACTATAATACTATACCCAGCTCTTTTATGCAAAAATAAG